TTAGGGTTTAGGGCTTAGGGTATAAAACCCTGAACCCTAAACCCTTATAGAGATCCTAGAGCCCAAAAAAAAAGGCTTCATGTTTGGGCTACTAATAGGGTTTAGGGCGTCACATAGGTTTATAATAGGGTTTGGGGCTTCATCTAGGTTTGTAATAGGGTTCAGGGCGTCATATAGGTTTAAAACAGGGTTTAGGGCCTCATATAAGTTTAAACTACGGTTTAGGGCTTGCTATAGGTTTAAATAGGGTTTAGGGTTTAGCTCGGGTTCAGCTTTAATGTCGGTGGTTGGGGCATATTCGATGTGCAGTTCTGCTTAGTGTAGAAACATTCCTTTAATGAAAGAATGTTTCTGCAAAAAATGCCGACCCCTTGATTATGGGGTTTGGGAGTTCAGAGGTGTAGGGAGTGAATGTTGCAGTTGTAGATGCCTGAAGGTTTGCCGTCTTGTGTGCTCTAGGCTTCATCTTCGGTGTATACAGTAGTGCTGTTGATGATATAAGTCCTGCATTACCTAAAGGACCCTAAACTATGCGAACTATGGTATATTCCTTATTATGGTTACTGCAGGATTTATATCACCTCACCCAAACCAGACACAGGTCGAGTTCCCAAGTGCCGTCATCTCGGGTTGGGCTCCAGAACTATAATCATTCTGAAGCCAGGTAAAGTTAGCCTTATACTACAATCAATATAGAACCCTTTCAAACAAAGGCCCCTGTTCTATGGAATATATTGTTTAGGCCCACCTCCAGGAAGGGCACAGCTGGAAATACAACCGCCTGATAAGCCCTTGGAAGGCAACAGCCAAAACCCCAACCCTGAACCCTAATGCCCATTAAAGACCCTAAGACGACCCCAGACTGCACCTAAACCACTTAAAGCCTTTAAAGACCCTAACACGACCAGACTGCAGATCCCAAACCTGCAAGCCTAAACCGCAGGTTGTAATCGGAAAGCTTCGCTACGGTCGTAGGTGAAACTTTCAATCCCCCCCCCCCCCTGATATCCCGAACTCTAGCGCTTAGGGGGTGCATTAGGGTTTTAGGGGAGTTCTTGGGAGTTGCGGGGGGATCAGGAATCTGCCCCAACCGCAACCCCGGTGATCCCCAAGTGCCGGCGCAGGTGCTGGTGCCATCTTCGGGGGCTCCGATTTCTTTCCCTTCTCCCGGCTTGAACCCATGGGTGGAGGGGACTCCTCGCGCTTCTGCAGTCTGTGTAGCCCGAGACCCCCCCACCCTTACATAACTTTCTTTGGTGAAGGATAACCCTGAACCCTAAACCCCAAAAACCCTCAAATTGCCAAAGGCATCCACTTGACCCAAAGCCTTGCTAGAAATCCAGGAGCTCCAAAACCCAACAAAAACCCTAGAGGTTTAGGGTTTAGGGTTCAGGATATAGCGTTCAGGGTTAAGGGTTCAGGGTTTAGGGTTCAGGGTTTAGGGTTCAGGGTTTACGGTTTAGGGCTTTTAACCTATACTCCGGTGCATCAAGCTGCGATCAGATTTTGTTTGAACCGGCGAATACCCTAACCTAAAATAGTTTAATTCTTGTCTATAATCATGCTAGGACTTTATGCATACTTTAATTAACAAGTGTGATGTAGATCTGTAGATCCTTGACTAATAAACTTTGCATTCTTTCATTGAAGGAAACTCATCTTGGGATCTTTACCACAGTCCCTCTAAGGGCAGGGGCGTCATGTAGTGGCCTTAATACATAAAATAGGGTTGGGGCTCCTGTATAGCATAAGCAGTAGAAGTATAATAAGGAACCTTAAAGAACAATATTGGTAATTGTTTGGGCTTCTATAATATTCAGCAGGGGTCATCATGAAAGATCTCAGACCCACCCAAATTCTTCGACCTTTCTGAAACACCCCATCATGCCTTGAATCTGAGCCAAGAATGCCCAGAGAGGCTCCATAATTTAGGCCCCCATGCCCTGAACCCTAAACCCTAAACCGTGTCTCATGGACTCATGGCATGGGTCGTCGACTTGAAGCTGCGACGAGAAGTACCGTGCTGCTCTTTTCCACTGACGCCTCAACCCAAAATTCCCTGCATGAACCTGAACCCTCAGGCCGTTCTACCCTTAAACCTTCTTTTTTTGGGCGTCCTGCCGGGCTGTTGCATCCTTCGGCGGTGGCTTCGGCGGGGCGCGCCAGGTCGAATCCACCCAGAAAGGGTCGGCAGGACTAAAGCGGCGATGGCGGCCAAAGGTCCCTGTGGGAGATTGCGCCATGTTGCCAAGCCTTGTTTCAGCCTAGACCCTAAATCCTAAACCCAAGCCCAAAACCCTAAGTGTTATAAATTACCCAAGCCCCAAAAACCCTAAGTGTTATAAATTACCCAAGCCCCAAAAACCCTAAGTGTATAAATTAGTGGGTTCAGCGTGTTAGGGCGCAGGGGTAGGGTGCGGAGGCTCTGCGAGCCGATCATGGTTTGGTCCAGGCTACGGGCTTTGGAGTTTAGGGTTTAGGGTTTAGGGCTTTGGAGTTTAGGGTTTAAGGTTTAGAGTTTAGGGTTTAAGGCTTGGGGTTCAGAGGTTACGACGTTGCAGGTTTCGATTTGTCGTTGTGGAGAAGCTTCCTTGTCGACCATGCATCTACCACAGATCTCAGACATGAGAACATGGATCCAGAACCTGCAGTTACACCAAACGCTCCTGAACACGAAACCCAAAACCCAAAACCCCAAACCCTAGTTTGGGGTGCTTGTGTTTAATGAAAGACAGCTCGCCTGGCCTCATGCCTCCCTCAGGGAGTGAGCCGACGCTGCAGAACCGGACAGGCTTGACTCATAAGGAACCTTAAGGGTGTAGGGCTTAGGGCTTAGGGTTTAGGGTTTAGGGCGTAGGGCTTAGGGCTTAAGGTTTAGGGTTTAGGGCGTAGGGCTTAGGGCTTAGGGCTTATAGGGTTTAGGGTTTAGGGTTTAAGGCTTAGGGTTTAGGGTTTAGGGGGAGGGGGGTAGGGGACGGTACTTCCTTGAATAGGCCGTACTAGGTCCTTATTACAAGTATTGAGGCCCCCTGCCCCCGTCCCCCCGACCCGGGTCCTTCGGAGTGAAAGGGCTCAGGGGCTGCAATTACGGATTAGAAATCAAGTCTTCATGTGGGAATTAGGGTGGTCGGGACTGTGGGTTAAGGGCTGTTGGAGATAGTTGCACGGCATTGATGACTAACAGCGGCTAACTCACATGGAGAAAACAGCAAAACTGTGAGTCCTTCATTTGCCCATCACGAGTAGTCTGCCCATGCACACATCATGTCGTCTAGTGTCCCTTCTTGTCCTGGGGTCATGCTTACGCTCTCGTTGTCATCATCACAATCATTCTCACAGGCATCATTGGGTGATCATCAAGGCAACACTAACACGGATCGGGTTCTTCCAGAAGCGCCGGCATGAACGTCTAGGCCTGATCAGCAATGCCCACGGCCGCTAGCATCATCCAAATAGCTAACATCGCAGCTTTCTTCGCCTTCATAACCATCATCATCAATACCACCATCCTGTTCCTGAGCAGCATCACGAAAGCAGGCATGCTGTCGTCAGGTGTTGCTGCTCTCAAAGTGGCCGTCTATCTCATAGCAAACAGGTATCCTGGACAAGCCGCAGCGCATTGAGGAACATCAGCATCTCGGCGTTTGGCCGCAAAGAGCACTCTGGAAGTCCGAGCTCAAAAACCTGAACCCCCATATGAAGGAGAACAGGCAAACTCCAGAGCCTTCAAGATCGGGTCGTCGGCCGGAATCGGCTCCGTGGCAAAGACATCCAAACCTCAGGTTGACTCTCTCGTCTCTCTCTCACATCTGTCTCTCTCTTTCTCTCTCTCTTTCTCTCTTGCTCCTTTTCTCTCGTTCTCTCTTTCTCTCTATCTCTCCCCCTCTCTCTCTCTCTCTCTCTCTCTCTCTCTCTCTCGCTCTCTCTCCCTCTATCTCTGCCCTTATATCTAGCTATGTATATATATATATATATATGTGTGTGTATACATACGTATATTTTGAGAAAGACGTGCAGATGTATATATATATATATACAGACACACACACACAAACACATACATACATACATACATACATACATACATACATACATACATACATACATACATACTGTTGCATACCTACACACATAATGCCTACAAAGCCCTATGAACCCTGAGCCCAAAGCCCTAACACCTGGCAAAA